CTTGAATGGGCATGTTTAAGCGTGCGCAGGGGGTCATTACTCTAAAATTCTAGCTTCCTTGACTCCGTGGTTTCCGAGATAATAATTTACCCGTAAATATTTTCACTAGCCTGTAGCTGATACTCGAGAGCGCGGGAACGTTGAATTTGAATGGGCAAGACTGAGAGTGGGCAGGGAGTCATTACCCTAAAATTTCAGCCTCCTAGACTCCGCTGTTCAGGAGATACTAATTTACCCGTAAAAAACTTCCACGGGGCCGTACGTGTTACCCGTGGCTACGGGAAGGCTGAATTTGAATGGGCAAGATTGAGAGTGGGCAGGGAGTCATTACCCTAAAATTTCAGCCTCCTAGACTCCGCTGTTCAGGAGATACTAATTTACCCGTAAAAAACTTTCACGGGGCCGTACGTGTTACCCGTGGCTACGGGAAGGCTGAATTTGAATGTGCAAGGTTGAGCGTGGGCAGGGGGTCATTACTCTAAAATTTCAGCCTCCTGGACTCCGTGGTTCCTAAGATATTAATTTACCCGTAAAAAACTTTCATGGGGCCGCACGTGTTACCCGCGGGTAAGGGAAGGCTGAATTTAAATATGCCGCGTCACCCGCTGGCGGGGAACACTACACCAAAATTTCAGCCGCCTAGCTTTTGTGGTTCCCGAGCTGAAAGTGCGGGACAAAATGTGGGACACACACATACACACAAACACACACACAGTCAACCCCGTGACAATATGCATTTTGTAACGCTGTTACACAGCAAAAAACGCATAAAATGTGGCAAACACAGAAAAGGATGAGAATGATTGATCCTCTTCTCCTTACTCAACTGCCCTACGCTCCCATGTGATATGCAAATGGCCCTGCTGTGACTTGAATCCTGCCTTATGACGCAAAATGATATGATTAGAAGTGATAAAGTAGTCAGGCATTATTTAAATTGGCCTGTGGCGGCAGTGGGATTTTGCTACCGGGTTTCGTGTCTGCCTTCGCTGTTGTTCCCTAATACCGTCTGGTTTTAATTTCTAAAATGCTTATTTTTGATTATAAAGTTTTTTTTTTTTTGATTACATTCAGATTATCGATGGCCACTGTATGCAAAACACAACGAAAGGCTATCAACCGCTTCACTAACAACGAAATGTAAGGCTGTGACAAAACAACAGCCAAAGTGACAAAGTAAGCTTACGCTGCGAAGACTGCTTGAACCACGCATTCACTGCTGGGATGGGCGCAGGACCCAAAATGATTTCTGGCTGTTCCACTGCATGTGCATTCTCGCTTTCGTCTTTGTCATCCTGAAATACACATTCACTTCGTATGAATTTCGAAGAGTGTAAAGTGAACCTCCCGAATGGTAAAATATGTCACTGTAGACTAAAACCCAGGTTGTAACGCACCAGGCTTGCCGATGCGATCATGTGTTTTTGCGCTAAGCTTGCAGATCGTTAACAGTAGGAATAGTTCCTGTGCTATATTTTAACGCTTATGTTCACACTGGCTCTGTTTTGGCCTCTTCCTGCATGCAACGGGAAAGGGCATCGACTGAGATGAAGGTGTTGCAATGTGGGGCCGCATGAACCTCCAGCATGCATGATTATCATTTTCTTGCATGAAGCTCGGTTGTTTTTCCGGTGAATGCTCGCTCGTTGAAAAAATGCAAATTTGAAAGAAATCTGGAGAGGATTATGAAATCCGCAAATGACTCCAGACTTTCGGCCTCCCAGCTTCCCCGGTTGCTAAATCGAAAGTGGATGCAAAGTTTATTCGCTTCTGAACAAACAAACACACGGACGACCTCTCGACAATGTGCGTTTTTATGAGTTTTTGCTGTCCAGCGCTATAGCGGCGCTGAGATGAAACTGGGTG